AGTTCGTAAGATACCTTACAGTTTATAAAAATGAATGATGGAAATATTTTATAACATTTGTTATGTCCGAAATTATGACTTACATTTCAATATTAAATTAAGCAAGAGATGTAAAATAAAAAATATAAAAAAAATTCTCATATTTCGAAAATATATTTAACGCCTTGCAAAGGGATCTTGACGATCGCACTCTTTTGGGACTAACGATACTTTTTTATGGCGAGTTTTGATTCTTTTTCGAAACGTTACTCATTCTTTATGTACTTTTCTACTGAAAAATTCTCTTCAGATTATGGAAAGTAAAAACACGTTTTAGGGCCTACGTCAAGTGCCAGTTGCTTCAATTGGTGTCTTTTTGTTTCTTGCAAATCAGGGCAACTTTCAACTTAAATTTTCTAATTTGCAGGACCGACAAACGTCACTCCCCACCAATCTTTTATTTAGGATTCAAAATTAATTCGAAATTTATTTCGAAAAACATTCATTACTTAGTATACGCAACGATTCCTCACTGAATCCTATATATCTTTGTTATATAATCGAAAATCTTTCTTTTTTTTTTTGGATCAACATGAAACCATGGAAGTTGTTGTTGGCATTTGTATATGGCTTATTAACAGATCAATACACATATATAGTAAGCGTTCCAATTGAAAGGTTTTTACCGATTTTAAAAATTCCATTTGGATCAAAATTTTTCCTATCCTTTCGTATACTATTTCGTTTTTAATAAATTTATATAAATGCGTGTACTTATCTAAGTAAAATTGATAGTCTTTGTAGGCGTTAGCAATTTATTTAAAATTTATTTCAAAATGATAAGAAGATAATCCTTTTGTGTTGTAAAACATAGTAATACACAAAGAAACGAAACAAACAAACGTTCGGAATTATTTTGAAGAAAGGAAAGAAAAAAATTTAATTTAATTTTGTAAATTACATTTTGTTTTTGATTTCATTGAAATTTTTATACAAAACTAAAGTAAATGGATATTTATTCAAAAAGAAGAACAAAAACAAAAAGGAAATAAGCATATTGAATGGAATACAATTCAACACTGTGGGGCAGATTTTGAAATTTAAGATTTTTAATTAACGTTGAAACACCTTTTCATAAAGATGTGATAACATCAAAAATGTATTTGAAATTGAAATTGAAGTACGCATTATGAATATTTAGTAATAATGTTCAATTTTTCTACAAAAGTTTACAAAAAAAAATTGATATCGAATTTTGCTTAAAATTTAATTCCATACCGAAATAAGTCTAACGTTTGTCCTTGAATAATTATCAATTCTTTATTATAAGAGCTCAATATTATTTAGACTAACTTATAAATTCCTAATGGTTACATTCAAAACTTTATTTTAACTTAAGCTTCGTATTTCTCAAGAGCCAAATATACAAACGAACAGATGGACAACGCTTTGCATATCTATATCGGCTGGCTATTGAGATTGTGTTTCTTAGGCAAGATTCTAGAATCGATATTATATTATTTGAAATTTTTCATTAGTGATAGACAAAAAAGGAAAAGAATTAAGCCGACCAAGAACATACATATACATGTTACTTGCAGGCTTTTCCGCATTTTTGTTAATAATAAGTTTTGCAAATGAGTTTTAAGTAAGGCTTTCAAGAGAAAGGCTATTTCCTGTAAGCTTCAATTAAAGTGTTATAGCACAAGGAGTCTAAACTTGCCCAGAGACAATTTTATGAGCGATTACACATTTTTTTTTTTTTATACTTTTTTATACGATATCACAAAAGATGGAGGTTTTTGTCGCCTATGCTATCTTTTTGTTTTTAATCGAAATCATGAGAATAGCGTCGTTTAGATTTTCTACATATATACAAATAAAATGAAATAAGTTCTCGCAAGGAAGATTGATTAGTAAAAGCCATCGTTTTTTGATGATTGCAAGTGATTTCTCGTTCAATCAGCATTTAATACAAAACGTTTTCATTTTCTATTTCAATTCGCACAGCCTAGTAGGCTTCAGACTGATATAACTGCATCAACCTAAAGTCTTATGCTGATTAGAAGAGTATGTTAAATTTGTTAGTAAAATTTTATCTCATTATTTATCTAGTTTTGCTAGCTAGCTATGCCAATACCCAGTGAGTAAATCAGTGAAGAAAATTTCTATTTAATGAAACTTTACAGCGATCCCCCTAGGTATTCATTATTTCGGGCCCATTTCAATCCTATCGGTGTGCTAATCTTTACTTGGTTCCCTTAAGATACTATTACCTAGCAACGTAAATAATCGTCACCGTGACTTCACTTTATTATGTATTCTTGCACTTATTCTTCACTTGTAAAGAATTAAAGCTACGATGCATTGACTACTTTACCTACTAATCAAATAGCAATCAGCTTAATGGTTCTGCGTTACCAGTTCTTATTTGTTGCAGATGGAGCTGTGGTCGTCCGACCGGTTATTAGGCATGTATTCTGAAATCATATGTTTTGTGAACTTGTATCAAATGTGATAGATTCCAGGGCCCAAGAAAACATTGCAATATTAATCTTGTTACAACAACAAATCCGTTAAATCATCAAAAATCACAAGAAAAGAAACCTATGTGACGCCTCTGTGATATTGCGCAAAACATTGTCGTTAATCTTAAGCGCGATTGCTTTCCAATATTCGAACGTGTGATGTGTTAAAGCAATACACATACCTATACAAATTTCCATTTGTCTTATTCGTAGAATATCGAAACGTGTCCCAACGGATATCAAAATGCTTTCGTTTAACTGTACAAAACTAAGTGGTCATAGGATAACAATAATAATAATAATTTTCACTTAGTCATCAACATTATCATCATGTTCACAGTCACATATACCGCCCTATTGTAAGCAGCAAAGCAAGAAAGAAAGTCGTAACTAGCAAATGTTCATTTACATGAATTTATAGATAGTAACATATTTACGACCATCGACCGAACTAACTAACTGACTGACTGCGTTCGCATTTTATTGATTTTTTACACTAGATAAGAAATAGTTTTATATAGTAAATGTTCATAAAATTCATGTGCCAATGAAATTGATAATATTTCTGTGTGCTACTAACTGCCAATTCGTGTATGCATATAATTTGAACGCACCGTAAATATGGCATTTTATCTGTAACTTATTAAATACATTTTACGATAATCGATTAACTGAATGATGGCAGAAAAATTTCTTAAGAAAACGAATTTTTTTTTTTAATTTCAAGGTCTTACTATCTACTTACTAACTACTATTAGACTTAGTAAATGAACAAAATGGCTTCGGAATATTTCAAGAGCAATATAAAGAAGAATTTCTTTCAAGGCATTGTCCATTATTAGCTGCTATGTCTTGCATCTTTCAGGCAGAATATAAATTTCACGCGGGAAAGCATTTCAAGGCCTGTAACATAAAATGGAGAAATATTTATTTGTCCTGACAGTAGTCCAAAGTGTAAAGCTGTCGACTATAGAAGGTTTAGGGCAACCATGCGAAGAAGAGGAATGGAGGCTTATGAGGTGCCACAGCTAAACTAGCTAGTTCATGAGATGTGGGAAGGGTTCCATCTACAGCTTGCTCACGGACACTCCGCACAGTTATACCAAAGAATTTGTACGTACTTGCCCCTTACCGAATACCAGACGGGCGTAACCCTAACTTTTCCGTGGAATTCTTTTGTTAAAGAAGAAATGATTTAAATAGGTTGCTATGGTATAAATATAGCATCATTTCAAATGTCCGCATCCCTTGGGAATGCATAACAAACCTGACGCATTTCCAAGGACGAAAGCTTCATTATATCTCATATAGTTTTACCATTTCTCTGGTAAAACTCTTATGCTATAAACTACAAAATTTTTGGAATTTCTGAGAGAAGAATTGAGCTGAAAAGTGAATTTCATAGATGTCCTCTGACGTGGCGTAGAACTGCGCTAATAGCGATGAGCGATTTCCTAAATAAGTAACTAAATCTAAGCATAGAAATGTAGATTTTCGAAGAAGAACTGAGGACTATGCTCTCACAGCCCCGATCTTATAATCAAGTAGACAATCTAAAGCTAAAGTGCTTTCGCATAAAGAAATTCATTGCAGAGTGCACTTAAAGTCATTAATTAGGGTCAAAGTAAACGCTTCCTTTTTTTTTTAATAATACTAACTAAACATAAGTAAAATATCACAATTTGTAAGCGATTGCGTGTGTAACGCATATGCTTATTGCATAACATGTATGCATGTCTCCACCATTCGAATTGCGTATCCATTATATAATATGGAATTTTATATTATAAAAGAGCTTATAATTTTATACAATCGCTTAATATAATATAAAATTTTTCATGTTTATGTGAATATGCATGCAGGTGTTGTAAGCACGTACGCCCGGAATAATATGAATATGAATATTTATTTATTTTTTTTTTTTTTTTGTTTTCTTTAAAACAACAGAAACTATTATTTGATTAATTACCATAGAAATGTATAATTATGATAAATGAATCTAATATATTATTACCGCCGCTCGCTGCGAGTGCGATGCGCTCTATATAATTACATACATATATATATATATATATACATATATATATATATGTATATATGTTGTATATATATTTATTAAGATATAAGCTCGCTTTTTACATACCATATATATATATATATACATATATATACATATATATATATATATATATATATATCATTTTATGAATGTACAATGGGTACCTGTAGAAAACAATAGTGAGCTTACATAAAAGATACAATTTATCATCGTTGCAATGGGTTGATGTATATACTTTCGCTTAGAGGAAAGCTTTTTGAAAGCGAAAGACCATGAAAAAATATGAGATTTTAAGAAGATCTCTGATATATGCATGGTTTTGTGAAACAAAGAATATAATTAATTTATATATTTTTGCGATTTAATGCAATTATTATTCTGTCTGCTCATATTTTCTATGACACTAACATGGCATTTTCTTTTTCATTAAACAGATGGTCGTATGGGTCTCTCAATATTACCGATAGCTGCTTTGTTGACCGGCACACTTTTCACCGTTGGCATTGCTATACTATTTGTTGTTGTTGTTGCCATTAGGAAACGCCGCTGCCAAGGCGGCCGTAACATATGCGATGATAAGGATAAACATTTGGGTAAATAAACAATAACAATAACAATTCGATAAAGGAAAAGCACACTTGATAGTAGAGTAAATTAAATTAAATTAAATACCTGACATATAAATCGATAAAGGTCAACTTATGTAATCATATGTTTATAACAAGTCCTCAAATAATTTGATATGATATATAGTTATCATATATATATATATAGATATCTGAAAGCTTTGTAATTTCATATGGACTTTCCAAGCCCCCTAAAATTTTTATGGAGATCCCTCTCTTCCCGTTAACACTACCGTTCATTCTATTCCGCGTGATCTATTTGAAAAATCCTTTTTCTTAACTTTATTTGAAAAAGCATCTAAAACTTTCTCATGTCCCGGATTGATTGATTTGCGAACAAAGTGCATGCGAGTATCGTCGAAGCATGTTCGAAGTGCCGAAATGAATCAACATTATGTGTCGTGAACATTTTTTAAATATTTTAGTACCCGTTAAAGAACATACAATACTGAATGATCAAAAGGCATTACGAATCTTCGATCCAAGCTGCGATGATTAAATGCATTTAACTAACATTTGCGTGAAACTTGACATCAATACCTTGAGTAGTCAAAGAGGTATTTTAATCTATAAAAATGCGTCGATAGATTAATCGCATTAATCTTTTCAACTGAATTCAAACTTCACGCTCTCAGGAAGCTTTTTATGTTTCGAACATTAGTAGAAGTGAGATGCAAATGCGGCAGAATCTGTATCGGAATGATGTAAAAACCTCAAATAACATTCCATGTTAACAGTAGTGTAGTTGGGTGGAAGAATTTTTTAATGTACCGCTATAAAGGAGTCGAAGAAAAGTTAATCTTGCTATTTGTTAATTAGTCTTACAGCTCTCGGTATGATACGATTTTATGTTATGTTACATTCACAGATATGTTACATTCAAGGCATTAATCTATCGAACTTCCGAATCCTCTCGATTGACTTTTAAATGGTAACTCCTCTGTCTAAATATACCTGCAATAAATAGCAACTGAGAAAATCACAGTTGGCCGTCATTGAAGAGATAAAGATTTTCCTCTTGCTATTCGAAAGGTCCTAAGACACTCTGCTCGACTTGACATTCCATTAGTGGAAATAAAAATCTTTAGCAAATAATAATAAAAAAGCAAAAAAAAAAGTTTAAATTGCATACTTGTACAATTGCATTTGCCTATTTCGAGTATACTCGTTATTCAGTTTATCTTCACCAAAGTAGGAAAACGCACGCGTACCGAGAAGACTAACAGAAATTAAGTAAACGAAACAATAGGATAAAGCACGTTCGCCAGGTACATGTCTTAAACCGCACCACGTAAATGATTATAAAAGATTAACACAAAAAATGACCTCAAGCAGGTTTTTTTTTTTTAATTCCCTTTTTTACACAACAATTAGGTTCTTATGAACGCAAATTTTTCGCCACAGAAAATTTTAAATAAAACTCACAACATCGACTAACGATCAATCTGGCCCCCCCCCCCCCCCGCCCGCCATCTTCGAGGATCCTCTTTGTGAAAATTCGCAAAACCCTTTACCCAATGTTTTTTTTTTTTGGGTACTCTAAGCCGTCAAATATTTATTTTTGATTAAAAGTAAATGAAGAAAAACCGATGGACTCTCCAATCACCCACACGTGCGAGTATAAGTATTGAATTTTTGCATAGACTTTCTCGTCAGTTTTTTTCTTTTTTTTTTTTTTGCTTGCAGTATATTTTTATTATTATTTTTATTTTTGATTATTTTTTTTGCTATTTGTTTTATTCATTTTGATAGGCATGGATGTTACCGTTACTGCACCACTGGAGACTGGCCCCGGCCATCAACGCTTGGTGGTTGCGTACACATTAAAACAAGGCATCGAAAAGCAACCGGATATATTGAATGCTCAAAAAAGTACAACGGGTAGCGTCACTTCATCACCTTTGGGAAATCGACCGAGTGGCATTTTTATAGATGCCAACGCGAGCAATGGCGGTGTTGGCTCAAAAGCAAACTATGCTAGTAACGGCGGTGTAAGTGCCAGTAATTCAACTACAAACTACGTAAGTATCAAAACAAAAACAAGGAAGAAAAAGCAATGAGTTTTAAAAAAATATTTATGCACTGTTGTTACAACAACAACAACAAACGTACAAAATCAACATATTGTGCTCTGTAATGAAAAAAAAAAATAAAAAAAAATAAAAATTTTAAACGAGAAAGGTGATGAAAAGCAAAGTTAAGCGTTTTTTGTTTCTTTATACATTTACAAAGAGACGATTTCAAGCAGGAAGATAGCGTTTTATAAAGATATTCCACAGCGAAATTACTCTTTTCAAATTTTAACAACGAAGAGCACAAAATATGTAGTATACTCCTTTACTTTTTCATGAAATGTAGGAATGAAAATTATCAAAAAAATAAATAAATAAATAAATAAATAAAATTTCCTTTAATAATACAATCTATAAAAAAAAAAAAACAAAACAAAACAAAACACTTTCAGGATTCTCCAACCATCAATTACAACGAATCTGGCTCAACTGATCCACTACAACCACAACTTAATAGCCCGCCATCTCAATCCAGTACACTTAAATTGGGCACAGATACCCGGAAAACATATCAAACACCACCACTGCTCTACGATGCACTCAATCGTCACGACATATCGCGGTATGATCCACTCGGATTAAATATCAACTACGATGGAAGTAATAGTACGCTAAGCTCAGGGGGTAGCGTTGGCAATACTTCACTTACTAATAATGCATCGTCGTCTCTGTTGCAAAGCAATTTAGCCAATGGCCATTACACTAATCATCATCATCATCATACACTGCCGCATCCTTCGGCGGTAATACAGCATCAACCACCAGTTACAACGCACACATTAGGCTCAGAACAACTTTCAATATCTGATTACTTAACTGCTAGTAGTTTAATAGATTACAATCTTAGTAAATCGTCAGCGGGGATATCGATATCGAATGTTGGTGGCGGTACAAATGTTCTTAATGCTGCAACAGCAACAGCAGCAACAAATGCAGGGGTCGGTCATATGACACTGCCAAAAAGTTTAGCTTTAGGCTCCATATTAGGAGCCAATAGCGTTCCACATGCTACTACCTCCTCTTCCAATAGTACTCTAACACCATCAAAATCAAATTGTTTGACGGTTACACAGAAGACCAACGCCAGTCGTAATCATATTATAACCGATACTCTACCAGGTCCTGAGAGTTGTGTTTAATTTAATCTTTTTCTTTCTTTGAAAAAAAAAAGAAAAAAAAAAAAAAAAAACTTAACAAGAAATTCTGCATTTACTTGTACAGCAACAAATTGTACATAAATAATTATGTACAAATATATAAAACGATTGACATAAACTCTATAAACTGTATATGTAATGAAATCTTTACCATTTTTTAGCGAAACTTAAGAAAAGACTGGTGCAAGCTATAAATACAAAAAACAAATGCAAACACAAACACAAACACATATGCATAAACACACGCTACAGACACACGCATACAAACATATCGGACGAAACATAAATGTATTGAAATAAATTTTAAGAAAATACACAATAAATAAATTGCTATGTAATCTATCTATAAAGATGTAGCGATACGTGTATGAATGTATGTACGTATGTAGTTGTAATTAAGAATGATAAGAATAAATGAAAAAATCATATGACACTCTTACAAACCTACACTTAACTATATGTTTGCGGATATGAACGGTCCATGCATGCATTCTCGCTCAAACACATGCTCACACATAGATACACAAACATATCCACTTATATACATTTACATAAATTATACCTATCGATAGCTTCTGTCTATTTGTAAAAATAAAATCAATTATTGTTAAAGCTTGTAAACGGATCATACTTTAAATATGAATACGAGTATGTGTGTGCGTGTGCAAGTGCGTGTGCTTGTGGACATGTTCTGTCTCCTTAGGTGTGTTATGAAAAATTGAAAAATAATTTTGTTTACATTCACAATACATATTGATTGTGTATGTGCGTATAGAGATATTTATATATATCTCTATATATAAATAACTTCAAATTGTTTGTATTCCTATGCACAACACTTCAGTGAATACTTATAGTTTGTAATTAAAAATTTTCAGAAAATAAATTTCAACCTACTTATGTATAGCTAAACTGATATTATATACATACAAATCAATTTATATAAAACTTTTTACATTCATTTGATTGTGTTTACAAGTGCATACATGAAAGCATATATGATGTATAAACGTACGTAAACAGTGAAAGCTTACAGCAATGACTAGTATCGCAAGAATATATGATCGTTTAGAACAGTTTAAAATGACTTCAGCTACGCAATCCAAAAAAGCAACGGCGGCAGAATTTAATATAAAATGATTTTTTATTGCTTCGATTAATTAACTATATCATATGTTCAAAAAGAAAAAAAAAAACATTATAGACGATTATGGCCGACCCTTAAATATTATTAAACTACTTCGCCTAAAGCGATACTGGCTTCTCCCACCTACAAAAGCGGACATGATCCGAATTTACTTTCTTGTCAGAAGTCTTATCTACATTTATTTGCCTTCATGAAGTAGAAGTAAAAATTAAACCACGTGGCTTGCTTCAGATAAGACCCTAAGAAGAAAAAAATTAAAATAGACTTACGTAGTCCAAATTTTGTATATTTCATTTTCATATCAAATTAATGCAATCGATCGATTCAAAGTCAGATCTTTTCATTGAAAACAGGGATCGGGACATTGAAAACAGTGGCCTGCCTATTCGATCCAAATTTTGCGCATCAATCCAGTAGAGCCAAGATATAATTGGCAAGTTTTTTTTAATCGAGATATGTTGAAAACTGAAAATTTTTTTCGTATACCAAGGCGGGTGATAGTATAGAAATGGACCGATCCAATTCGTTTGCAACAGAATCCACCCTTGATATAAGATATATTAATGTATCTCTTTTAGGTTGAAAACCATGTGGGCAGATATCAGTCGGACAGAGGGACAGCATTGAAAAAGATTCTGAAACACACACTACATCACACAACATTACACACAACAAATTGCCCATGAGTTAATAATAAATTTGGCAAAAAATGGTACATATATCCATATAGAACCTCTCTTCGAATAAAAGATTGAATAATCAAAGTTCCCCTTGCTTTAATTTTCTAATGTGAACTTCTGAGAAAAGATGAAATTTTCGAATAATTACAAAATCTACGCGAGTGACGATTATTTAAGCTTTTTAAAAATTTTATTTTCAATCTCGCCATACTCGCGTACACAACAACGTATGCGTAGTTGAACATTGCGAAATTTTGGATAAGCGTAACTTTTCCAGCTTTTCGCGAATACTAACGTTCGCAGATACAGTAAAACCTCGAATTTTGTTTGCACGTATGATGGTCACAGGCTGAAGGAGACAGAGGTGGTACGAGAAATGCAGCGTTAGCATATAGTCGACATAAGCGATATGCAGGGTGAGGTATAAAAAGTACGAAACACGTAAACGTTATTCTATAAGCATCTTCTATGGTGGATATTACTCCTCCAGTTGGCGGAAATTGTGCCAAGAGGGCGTGAAACAACCCAGATAATCTCCTTTATTCTCAATGAATTCTAGATATTAAATTAATTGTTAATTATGTGAACATTTAATTGACCGTTTTGTAGCACCTTTTCACGGATTCATTGAATCAACTTTCGATCGACTTATATTATAAATTATTGACTTTAAAACTTTAAAATCTTCTATGTTCGACATTATGTTTACTAATTGTAACCAAACCAAAAAGCAAAAAAAATAAACCAAAAAAAATATAAATGCGATGTATATAGAAAAACTTTCGAGTAGCTCGAGTTTCAATTTCTTGCAATGCAGTAAAGCTCGGGAAATTAATTTATTACGCAAACAACAAATTTTCATCTCATATAATTCCTACTTCTCACGTCTTATGTATATAAAATTGAGGTAGCTAAGCCTGTATGCACATACAACCAATTAATTTAGTTTTCTTTCTTCATTAAAAAAAGAAATTCAATCTTCTTGGCAAAAGAAGAAAACAAAAAAAGAAAGAAAAAAAATGCTCAAAGCCGAGCTCTCGTAAGTACCTACTCGTAGTGGCTTTCACTGCACTTGATTTCAATTTTTTTTCTTCTTATTACGACTTGAAAGCATCACTTTTGAAAATGAAAACTACATTAATTTGATCAAGGTATGCTCTTACATTTATGCACACAAACACACACACATACACAGTAACATACATACAAACATACATACATACGTAAATGCATTCATTCATTTATTCATTTCATATCTATCTGTACATATGTGAAAATAGTCTTAACAATGTGTTTAGATGAATAATAAATTTCAAACCATATCCCGTCTTTTGTTAATAGAAAAAGCAAAACAAAAAAAAAAAAAAAAAAAAATTAAAAAATAAAATAAATAAATAAAACATATCTCGAAATTGTGAAATTCAAATGTATACACAAATTATAAATATATCGGTATTATATAGTAAGAGAAATAATAATAAAAGAGATAACTAACTACATGTATATATATACATACGTGGATATATATATATATATATATATACATATAATAATAATGTGTATATATGTATATATATATGTATTACATTACTTACAAAATTCTTTAAGTTGTCTTATATCTGTGTATGTATACGTATCTCACATACACATTTGTAGTTTTTTTCTATATTGATGTTCTTGCAAAACAAAAAACTTTATAAGCGTATTAAAGCTTAGCTAGTTTTTGCATTTCTCTTTTTCGTTTTTCATTTTTGTTTTTGTATTTGTGTTTTCTTTTCACTTTAATGACGTGATAATTTGCTAATTTGCATTTACAATGATTATTACATTTCATTCTTTTCATTTTATAAATGTAAACAAAATGAATTCATTTACATTTTTACGTATATATATATATATATATATATATATATATATATATATATTGCAATAAGATAGCTTAACTTTAATGCTCTCTCTCGTAAATGTCTTAGATATGTGTTTATGTCCCTTTCACTCTTGCAGAATTATTTTTAAAGATCACGAGCAATAGAGAACATAAGAGACCATTAGTTTGAATCATTAGTTTATAAATTGTTGTTGCTTTAGTTTGCCATGCTGGCTACGCCATATTTTTTCATCAAAAAGTGCGCCATATTTGTGCATCAAAAAATATGGCGATCGAAACAACTAACTAACTAAAACTTGTGTTCTACTCTCTTACTTACTCGCATCCTTTAATTGGTACCAGATAAAAATCGAATGGATTCCAAAATAATGGCGATATCTGAGTGATGTCGTTTGTATTATTATTACACGGTTGTCGTAGTCACACTATAAACTCTCTCTCTCTCTCTCTCTCTCTCTTTTAAGATATTCTACTCGATAGGAATTTGATGTAATGCTTGTTGCTCTTTGTAAATAATTTTCTCACCTCTGAGCAGAGTATAAGAAATGAATTGCAAAAGTAAAGAATCTGTTCAGGCATTTATCTGTATACTCTATAATTAGTACAAAAAAGATGTGGAATTATTTTCGATATTTCTTACGAACTTTTCGATAGGGGATATGAGATTTTTTAGAGCGAGCGTGATAACAGTCGTCTAATTTGCGACATTTGTTTCATTTCCCAAGAGCGCTCATATTTGACCCTGAAAGCAGATCACTTTGGTACAGATTTTCTTTGAATTAAACTCTTGCTACAAATGTAGCCCACATAGCCAGCAGGGGGGACTAAATTTCAATTGTTAATTATTTAATGAAATATTTCCCAATCTTGATAATTGCCTCAATTGTTTTAAACTTTAAATGTCTAGCACGCTGTGTGATTCATTATTAAGAAATAGCGAGAGTTAGATTTAAATTCAAAGTCGCAGTTTCTTCATAAATAACGTGAAGACATTAAATGTATCGTTTACATCCCCACTAGCATTTTTCAAAGAAACTAAGTTAACAGTTGACGGGCGACTGCGGAAATTATGCCGGATTGGAAAGTTTTATCTTGTTTTCATTGTAGGAAAAATTAAATTTAGGATAATCTCTTCACTATTTGCTGGCAAGAGTAAGAGCGCGAATAAAGTCCTATACTAAGTATTGTAAAAGTTATAATAAAAGTGCAAAAAATTCCCAAATTTTTGCTAATGAAAGAGTTTTGCAAGCAATTCCCTATGATTGCTTAGTAATTTTCTTATAAAATTCATTCAAGAGGGATACAAGAGCAATTGTCCTTCACCTGAGAAATATTTGTGACACGAAAATCTGATTTATAAAAAGAAAAGCATTATCAGCCAAGTGATTATTTAAGGTTTAGGAAGAACCTAAATCTAGATAGCAGTATTTTTACTCGATACATACGATTTGAAACTAATAATAATAAACTTTTAACACTCAGTGCTGAACTTAATAAACTTTACTTTGTATATTCATCCTCTCCTCCAATAGCTCATTTTTATTAAAAACTATGCCGGCTGTTGGTCTAATCGTGAACGTGGCGCTTACTGCAGATTGTGTTTGAACTTCTTATGAAACACTATGGTGCTAGACTAAGGCCCCCTGATTCCTCACCCCCTCCCCCAATTGCGCATCTTTATTAAACGCTATGCCGGCCGATGTCTAATCGTTATTATGACGCCTACTGCAGATTGTGCATGAACTTCTTATGAAATGCTAAGGTGTTAGACGAACGCTCCTTGATTCCTACGAATTGGATAGAGTTTTAATAGAATAGAAAATTGGACCTGTTTATTTTCTCCACACACTCAACTACGCTCGATATTCTTGTCTATATTTTACTTTCAGCAGATCTGTATGTCGTTTATATGATGAAAGTTATCGAAAAATGATTGCTAGCAAAGTTACTTTCAGTCTAATCTTTTCTTTCTTCTTCTTATTATCATTATTTTTATTTCATACTTTAATGCGATGAAAATTGATTTCAATGACAGATGAGAAAATTAAAATACTCCCTATGATAAACTTGCTAATTACTTGAACTGGTGGCAGTTGTCGACGTAACTTAAATTCCGCTTGTAACCATAAAGTTATTGTAAAGTCTGAATAAAATATGCAACGATAGATTTAATAATTGCGTGAAATGGTAGTGGTTAATGCAACTTAAAGTCCGCATGTTGTCCGCATGTAAAAGTATTACGGATCCTGAATCTTTGCCGGTTAAAAATCATTAAAACTTTCTCATGATGCAACAGATAATTGCTTGATTCCTTTTTTATTATTATTATTTTTTTATTTTTTTTATTTATTATTTAATGATTTTTTCCTTTTTACACACACACACACACATCCTTACAAATTTTCATCAAGCTGAACTACTCTGCATTTTTATGTACATATACGTACATCGAACAATACTATAGCACAATCATTTATATATATATATATATATAGCCTTTGTCAGTCTGAATAATTCATAAAGTGCAAAAAGTGAGCAGCAATAAAAAATGAAAGTAAAACTTTTCATGCTTAACACTGTACAAGAGTGCATGCATTGATTCTTTAATAATGACGATGACAGAACATCCATATATTTAAATACATATGTGTGCGGTTTATAGAGATGCAATCCGATAAGAAGAA